CTTATTTTTTATGCGTCCATAATGATTTTTTTTTTTTGTATACGGTAATCTAAGCATAATTTTGGGGATTTCATTCTTTTTTTTCGATAAATGGAGCATAAATTTTGAACTGTAGCCCTCGGTCGATTGTGCCATTTGCCCATAATTTGCAGAAACGTGAAATTGTGATGATTTTTGGTTCAAAATAAAAGGATTGAAAATGTGTATTTATTTTTTTTCCATCCCCAGAGACGAGCAAGAGCATTGAATCGACATCAAATTCGCTGTATCTGAAGGTTGAAGCTTCGGTATTCCCATGGGACGCAAAGGTGAGCTCAAAAAATTAAAGATGGAGCTATCGAGGGAGAAGAATGAACTAGTTTCTGCAAAAGTCGATTTTGTACCGACATAAGGGTAATTTAGTCCTTGGAATGTGTAACATGCCAATTAATCCATCGAAGTAAAGATGGGATTCATTTATGCAATCCCAACCCGAAAAGTAAATAAAGGACTGATTGCTGACATGTAAAGTTGTATTGGATAATTTATCTTATCCCATCCTGCAAAGTAAAAGACCCCTATATATATTAAATATACATATTTTTCAAGTAAACTGTGGTACTTAAAAAAAACAACATAGAGAAAAAAGTATGACATTTAATTTTATAGTATAAAATAATGGTAGGCTTGGGACCAGTCCGGTTCCTAACATATTTTTCAGGAATCAGAACCGAAATTAAATAACAGGTTTGGCTAACTGTAAAAAAAAAAACAGTTTGGTTCTTCCGATTCTTTAGGTAATAGAATAATGAAAAATAACAAACAATAATCAATTTTTGAGCAGTGGCAAGAGTCCTCACTATTGGACTTTCTATGTTTTCCAGTTTCTTAGATTTTTTTTGGTTTGGTAGTTAGTTTGGTTGTTGAGGCTCTAGATCGCTTTGTGCGTGTGTCTCATTTTTTATTTTATTCGGATTTGATTCGCATTGTATTTGATCTATGTTCGCTTTGAGTTTTATAATAGTTACCTTTGTCTTTAAAAAAAACCAGTTTTTGAGTTAAAAGCCGATATAAAAATTACAACTCACGTAAGTATTATAAAAAACTGAATATAAAAGTGAAAAATCAAATATTGTATACCAAGAACCTGAATTGATTCATATATATATATATATATATATATATATATATAAAAATATAAAACATGCATATTTAACATATATAGTCGGTTCCTCAGTTAATACACATAACATACATTTTGAAAGGAACTGGGAACCATGACCAGTTTGTGCAAAAAAACTGAAACCCAAAAAAAATATTTTTTTTTTCTTAAATAACCAGACCGAACTGGTTATTTTCGGTCTGGTTCGATTCTCCAGTTTTCGGTATAAAATTCCACTCCTAATAAATATAAATTTTTGTTCACATAATGTAACGTGTCAACCCGTCTAATAGTTAGGTTGCTTCACGAAAGAAAATATTACAAATCGTCCACTAATTTTGGGCTCCTTACACAATGATGCGCTATGTTATACTATCATCCAAATTTTGTAATTATCAACATTTTGATCATAAAAGACGCAAAGAAATATTATGCAATTTTCTCATAAAAATAGAAAAATTACAAATCAGCTACTATTTTTGCCCTCTTACACGAATGATGTGTTATATCATACTATCATCCAAATTTGTAATTATTGACATTTTGGTCATAAAAGACGCAAAGAATATTATGCAATTTTCTCACACAAAATGAGTAATATTACAAATCAACCACTAATTTTGGCCTCCTTACATGAATGATGGCTATGTTATACTATCATCCAAATTTGTAATTATTGACATTTTCATTATAAAAGAGGCAAATAAGAATTATGCAATTTCTTTTATATAGTTTCTTTCTTAATTTTTATTAACGAATTAGATATTATTAAAAAATAATTTTTTATATAATTTAAAAAGACGCAACCAATCAAATATAAGACACACTTCAATTTTTGTCGGAAAAAAAATACGTGACAAAACTAGAAATAAGAATAAATTTGTGTATAGTATTAAATATTAATCTATCTATCTATCTATTTATCTATATCTATATCTATATTTATCTATATCTATATCTATATCTATCTATCTATCTATACTACCGTAAAAGGAGAAGTGTTTTTGTAAAAAATTCATAATGCCTAAGAAAACCCTTACTTTGACATAAATTTAATACACATCATTTTATTTATATTTTTAAATAAAAAATGAACTACCTAAAAAACTCTTACTTTCACATGTTTTAAATGGCAAATTGGTAATATACTAATGTCATCATATCTTATATCCTCCCTATATATCATTAAAAAAAACATAATTTTTTTCAATTCAACATAAGCAAATCAATGAAAATAATATATTTTTAAAAATTTTATGAACAAAAGTTGACTCGACAATATTATTAATGAATTTATGAATTGTAAATATTTAATTTAAATATTAATTAAAAAATTGTAATTATATATAATATAATATAGAATATACAAATATTTGATATATAATGAGGCAGATGATCGAAAAAATTATATACTTTATATTATGTTTTTTTGATAAATCTACAGTTAAGAACATGTGAAAGAACAAGATAAAGTTTTAAAAAAATATTAAATATAAAAAATAATATGAATAATAACTAAGTTGTGACACATACTAATAAATATAAAACAAACTAATAAACAAAAATAATATAATTAATATAACTAAATATAAACCTTCTAAAAATATACTTATCGATGTAATCGAACTGAGTTGTTAAACGCTTGTTAGTTTTTTGTTCTTATTAATTTTATGTGTAAATTTGAGGTGATAGACAATAGTTATTTGTACATTTATACATATAGATTAGAAAAAAAAATCTTTATTATTCTAATTTTAAATAACTTTTTTATTTACTATATTAGTTTTCTTAATATAATATATAAGTATCATATTGAACAGATAAAACAAGAAATATTTTAATTATATAATATTTAATATGTAAGAATTGTAACTCAATTGGTAAATTAATAGGTAATATTGGGATAAAATAATGAGTGATTTATGAAAAAAATTATAGGAACTAAAAAGTTCACGTGTTTAATATATTTTTAATAGAAAAATTGTAAACACAATTACTCAATAAATACTACATAAAAGATATAAGAAATCTTATATCCTCCCTATATGTAATTAAAAAACATAACTTTTCACAATTCAACATAAACAAATCAATAAAAATAATATATTTTTATAAATTTTATGAACAAAAGTTGACTCGACAATATTAATAATGAATTTATGAATTGTAAATATTTAATTAAAATATTAATTAAAAATTGTAATTAAATATAATATATTATAGGATATACAAATATTTGATATATAATGAGGCAGATGATCGAAAAAATTCTATAATTTATATTATGTCGTTTTTGACAAATCTACAGTTAAGAACATGTGAAAGAACAAGATAAAGGTTTAAAAAAATATTAAATATAAGAACTAATATGAATAATAACTAAGTTGTGACACGTACTAATAAATATAAAAACAAACTAATAAACAAAAATAATATAATTAATATAACTAAATATAAACCTTCTAAAAATACACTTATCGAGATGTAATCGAACTGAGTTGTTAAACGCTTGTTAGTTTTTTGTTCTTATAAATTTATGTGTAAATTTGAGGTGATAGACAATAGTTATTTGTACATTTATACACGTAGATTAGAAAAAAAAATCTTTATTATTCTAATTTTAAATAACTTTTTTATTTACTATATTAGTTTTTTTAATATAATATATAAGTATCATATTGAACAGATAAAACAATAAATATTTAATTATATAATATTTAATATGTAAGAAATGTAACTCAATTGGTAAATTAATAGGTAATTTTGGGATAAAATAATGAATGATTTCTGAAAAAATATATATATATATATAGGAACTAAAAAGTTTACGTGTTTAATATATTTTTAATAGAAAAATTGTAAACACAATTACTCAATAAATACTACATAAAAAATATAAGAAATCTTATATCCTCCCTATATATAATTAAAAAACATAACTTTTCTCAATTCAACATAAGCAAATCAATGAAAATA